GTTTTATGAGAATAATTTTATCCTATCTCCCAAGCCTTTTATGTTCAGCTTTATTAAGCCATTTTACTTTAGCTAAATTTCATTTATACAAAGCAAGTTATTAGATTCTGCTTTGATTGCCTCAAAGAAATTCCATGAGATGAGACCACTGTTATATACTACTATATTTGTGATATTTGGTCAATTCGTTACATTAGTTTTGCTATTTTTAAGTTCTTGTGGTATTTTCTTACTTCACATGTCCTCTCCCTAAAAGTTGGGGGCGGAGAGTCTTGTCTTTAGCTCTCAAACAAAAACATTAGGTATGCCCGGTCGGGTCGAGGTCTGCATTGCCACCTCAGAGGCGGGATTGGCCACCGCCCGGTTTTTTTTCGGACTCCAGGTTTCCCTGCCAAGCACGAGGAGTCCAGGGAGAGCGAGCACACGTCCCGGCCCGAGCACGCCCAGGCAGGGATGGGCCGCGGGATCTGGTGGCCCTTCCCCGCGCTCCTGCTGGCCGCTCAGGGGGTGGCAGGCTTCACGCCCTCCTTAGATAGCGACTTCACCTTCACCCTCCCGGCCGGCCAGAAGGAGTGCTTCTACCAGCCCATGCCGGCGAAAGCCTCACTGGAGATCGAGTACCAGCCTTCTGGACCTGCCAGTTACTGAGAGAGGATGTTGAAGTCTCCAACTATAATATTGGTTTTGTCTGCGGCGGCGCCTGGAGGCCACGCGAAGAGCTCGAGCTTACTGCCCGGCGTCAGCTGCTTAAGGAAGAGACCAAGATGAATACACAGGCATGAAACGCTGAGTAAAATGAATATACTATAAAGCAACATGGAGAAGAAGGTTCCACATGGCTCCGGCGAACTAAATATTTCAGGGTATGAAGATTTTCTACTGATAATTCAGCCTCCAGCAAACAAGCTAGCGCGATCACAACAGAACGGCAAAGAGATTCTAGATCACCTCCGTCTGCTTGCTCCTGAACATTCAGGCTGAAATTCAAGAATTTGAAAGAAACACACCATCCATCAGATGACAAGAAATCACTGCCTCCCCCCCAAGGGAAAAGAGTAACTCTTCTTCATCCACAAGCAGTTTGGTGAAAATCATGGAAATGTCTGATAAGGAATTTAGAGCATTCATAATGTCAAAGCTAACAGAGATGGAAGAGAAGAGAGATAATGAACTGCTAAAGAGAAAGGAGAAAGAAGCTGACGAGTTCCAGGAGATGAGGAAATTCTTGCAAGATCTAAAAGAGGAATTACACACTTTA